ATTGAAATTAAATCATTGTAATATCACACTGACTTCATGTTCAGTTCACGATGACCTAAAGTAATAAAAGTAATAGAATATAGTAAACTAAGAATGCATTTAAAGATAGAGGTACATATATATTTATATTCCACCACAATGACCTTTGACCCTTTGATCTTTGCGTCTCAGATGATTAAATGTAGTTTTAATAAACAGAACAATAAACTTTTAAACACAGAAATCAAGTTCACAAAGCTGACAATTAATCCCTTAAAGATCCTTGTTAAATGATGAAGACTGTCGTTCTCACCCTCTCTCCTCCTTTTTTTTACACATCTTCCAAATCAAAAATTTATATGGATTTGTCAGCTGGTCTCTTAAAGTAATTGATATTTTTTTTTCCACCAGACGACAGGGTACTGGAGAGCCCTCATGCTCTGAACAGACCCACGCAGCTGGATATGTCATGGATTCCTGGGGGCAGTGGAAGATGATGTGCCTACCTGTGCTGTCCGTGGAGGACGTAGAAGATGCGTACATTATTGGATTTATGATAAGAGGGTTTCTGCTTTTTGGACTCTGCGGATACCAAGGATATCGACAAATTAGGAAGACACTATGTGCAAAAAACTATGCGTTCAAAAACATAGCACCAACTAATGGCATGGAGGGGAATTACACCGTTTCCATGTCTACGGTTGCTGTGTAATCAGAGATTGTAATTAAAACGTATTCGTGTTAATAGAAATGGGAGGAAAAAATCTGTTTTCATTGGATTGTTGTTGTGTTAGCAGGGCCTTTAGCTGTAGGCCATGATGTAAGTTGTCTTACTGATGACATCAACAGGTGTGCATGAGATAACACGATCAGCTGATCCCAACATTCAGGCAACTGTGGTGGAAATTTATTTATGAGACTTGAACAAAGCGATGGGAAAACAGTCCTTTATTCTTATTGCAATAAGAGAGAGGGACAACAGCTTTTCTTCAGCTCAGATGTCAATTCTGAGTTCTTAGTTTGCAAACAGTGTTGCCAGATAGAGTTAGATAGCCGAACGCGTCCCCACAAAGACAGAAGGGAAGGAAAAGGAACAGAAACACATCCAAGAAGCTCTCCAAACATGTGGATATCATAACTGGGCTTTTGTCAAGTCAGCGAGGAAATCTACAAAACACACCAATAAACAGTAAAAGGAGAACAACAGATGGAAAAACATTGTCATCCCTTATGTTGCTGGAGTATCAGAGAAATTCAGAAGGATTTTCAACAAACACAACATCCCAGTACATTTCAAACCCAGCAGGACTCTCAGACAGAGGCTGGTCCACCCTAAGGACAAAACACGCATTCACAAACAGAGTGGTGTAGTGTATGCGGTCCAGTGCAGCGAGGACTGTCCAGACCTCTACATTGGAGAAACTAAACAGCCTCTTCACAGACGCATGGCTCAACACAGGAGAGCCACCTCCTCTGGACAAGATTCAGCTGCTCACCTCCACCTCACAGAGAAGGGACACTCTTTTGAGGACCAAAATGTGCACATTTTGGACCGAGAACACAGATGGTTTGGGGGTGGTGGTGGTGTGTGTGTGTGTGTGGGGGGGGGGGGGGGGGGTGAAGGAGGCAATGTATGTAAAAAGAGAAAAAATCATCTCTTAACAGAGGAGGAGGCCTCAGATTTCCACTTTCAAAAACCTATAATGCAACTTTAAAACAGATTCACAGCCGTTTTTCACACTTGATGGGAACAGAGGGGCCTCATCTTTGATTTGGAGTAGCAAAGACCTTAGACTTGACAAAGTGTAAATGTCTTTGTATGATTTCTTACTTGGTGTACGTAAAATCAACTTTTATTACAGATCAAGAATAAACGTTTCCAAAAACGTTTGAAAATTCCTCAGTTAACTTTTGGAAATTACAAATAATTTGATATTTTTGGAATAACACTTTACACAAATTAGCACCTTTAACACTTGTTTTGAATATAAGAATTTTGTTAGTTTCCCATTTTGGTGTTCGGTTCATTTTAATGAGTAAAAAGAACTTTTCACTGCAGCTCTGTTTCCCTGAAAGATTTCCAATTGATCTTAAAAAAATATATAATAAAAATATATTAAGTTGAAAATTACTGTATCTGCCATAAAGTAAAATATACCTTTTTGGGAATGACATTTAGACTTTTATAAAAATCTTAAAAGTTTCTCAATCACATTTTTTATCAGATTGTTTGTGTTAAAGTCAGAGAGCCGTGTCTCTCTGCACTCACAGGTTTTTGTACGACGCTTCAGTCTCTTTGGATCACTGTGGTACACGTTCGGTGGAGGAACCAGACTCGAGGTTGGAAGTAAGTTGATTACTTATTTATTTATTAAGTTTATGACAAATTTTATTTAAACTGAAAATATATAGCAATTTTAAAGTTGTACTAATTTTATCTGTTGGAGTTAAATTGAGATTTATTTGTTTTATTTTGATTTTTGCCACAGATTCTAAATATTGAACGAGATAAAGATTTCAGTCTGATGGTACTGAAGTAAAATTTAAACACTTTTGTTGGTGTAGTTAATTAAAAAAACATTCTTTTTCAAAAACTGTTTATTAAATAGTGTTAATGTAACTACAGTTAAAACAAAATTATTGAAAAGGACAGAACAAGAAAGTAAATAATTCTCCAAACAACTCACTCTGACAGTTTGTAAAGAATTTAAACTGCATGAATTCTTTCAATAATAAAGTTGGTGTCGTTTGGATCCAGTCTCACCAGTTACTCAGTGTTGGTACCAGCACAACTGATCCACTGGGTTGTGCTCCCTGGTGGCTGATTGATTAAAATAAGAAAGTAAATCTAGTAAAAGTGTTTGCTGCAGTTTGGAGAAACGTCTCATTGTTGTAATTATTAAAAGGATTGATATTCAAGAAAAACTTTTTCTTTTTTTAAATAATTTTAACGTTGGATTAAAACATTTCAGGACAAGTTGTGATTGTCTCTGAGCTGATTTCCACCAGAGGTTTGTTAAAGGGAAGTGAAACTTTGTGTGAGGAGTGACCGCTGAAGCAGAACACATCTGGCAGAAACTCCCCAACACAGAAAATGACC